TTACGCAGCCTAGAAAACGTCTCATGCCATGACATCCCTTTTGTGTGTGTATGTCACTTTAAATGTCATGTGCCGGCGTATTTGCCAACAAAGACGTCAGCGAAATTGTCTCAGCGAAAAAGTCTTGTTGCTATCATAATCAACCGACCACATGTAAATAGCAGTGGTCGTATCTATGCTTGTAGGCGAAAACTTACATACTTGACTAGTCAAAAAAGCGGGGCTGTCATTTTCAAACTTATGGGTTCCCAACTAGCTCGTGGACTAAAAAAAGATGTTGCTGATCACTACCCCAAACTTTCGTTATTGCGGGAAAACTTTTTAAAGTCTCTTTGCTATCATCATCATCAGCCTGACTACGTCCACTGCAAGACAAAGGTCTTTGCCATGGTTCGCCAGTCAACTCGGTCCGGTGCTTGCTGCTGCCAATTAATACCCGCAAACATCTTAATCTCATCTGCCGACCTAACCTTCCATTTCCCCTTAACCCGCAGCCCTCTCTAGGAATCCAGTTAGTTACCCTTAATGACCGACGGTTATCCTGTCTATGTGCTACATGCCCAGCCCATGTCTATTTCCTCTTCTTGATTTCAGCTATGATATCCTTAACCCCGGTTTAATCACTAATCCACTCTGCTCTCTTCTTGTCGCTCGAAGTTACACCTAAAATTTTCCTTTCCATTGCTCGCTGTGTTGTCCTCATTTTAAGCTGAACCGTCTTTGCAAGTATCCAGGTTTATGCTTTGTAGCTAAGTATCGACAAGATGCAGCTGTTATATACCTTCCTCTTGAGGGATAGTGGCAATCTACCTGTCATAATTTGAGTGCTTGCCAAATGTGCTCCACCCCATTCTTATTCTTCTAGTTACTTCAGTCTCGTGGTTCGGCTTCGCGGTTATTACCTGTCCCAAGTAGACATAGTCTTTTACAACCTCAAGTGCACTATTACCTATCTCAAAGCGCTGCTCTTTTCCGAGGTTGTTGTACATTACTTTCGTTTTCTGCAGATTAATTTTAAGACCCACCTTCCTGCTTTCCTTGTCTAACTCCGTAATCATGAGTTGCAATTCGTTCCCTGAGTTACTCAGCAATACAATGTCATCAGCGAAGTGCAGGTTACTAAGGTACTCTCCATTAACTCTTATCCCTAACTGTTCCCATTCTAGGCTTCTGAAAACCTCCTGTAAGCACGCGGTAAATAGCATTGGGGAGATTATATCCCTCTGACTTACACCCTTCCCGATTGGTATTCTGTTGCTTTCTTTATGAAGCACTATGACAGCAGTTGATCCCCTGTAGATTTCTTCCAGGATGTTTATATATACTTCGTCGACACCCTGATTTCACAGTGCCTGCATGACTGCTGATATTTCTACTGAATCAAATGCCTTCTCGTACTTTATGAAGGCTATGTATAGTGGTTGGCTATATTCTGAGCATTTCTCTATTACCTGATTGATTGTATGAATATGGTCGATTGTTGAGTAGCCTGCTCGAAATCCTGCTTGTTCCTTTGGTTGATTGAATTCTAATGTTGTCGTAATTCTGTTAGCAATTACCTTTGTAAATAGCTTGTATACTACGGAGAGCAAGCTGATTGGAGTGTAATTCTTCAAGTCCTTGTCATCTCCTTTCTTATGTATTAAGATGATGTTAGCATTTTTCCAAGATTCTGGTACTCTTCCCGTCAAGAGTCACCTCGTAATCAGGGTCACTAGTTTTTCTAACACAATCTATCCTCCATCCTTCAGAGCAGATCTGATGTTACCTGATCCTCACCAGCAGCTTTGCCTCTTTGCATGCTCTCCAAGGCTTTTCCGACTTCTATCATTACTGGTGGGGTGTTATCTGGGTTACTGCTAGTTCTCATATTAAAGTCGTGGTTGTGCTGGCTGCTGTACAGATCCCTGTAAAACTCCTCTGCTAATTTTACTATCCTATCCATATTGGTAGTTTTTTTTGCCTTCTTTGTCCCTTAGTGCATACATCTAGTTTTTGCCTATCCCAAGTTTTTTCTTCACTCCTTTGACACTCCCTCCATTCTTCAGAGCATGTTCAATTCTCTCCATGTTATACCTTCTTACATCGGATACCTTATGCTGATTAATCAACTTCGAAAGTAACATCATGGCTTTGTTGTAGAATACCTGCTTACCACCCGAACTGCCCGGGTTCAATCCTCAATGGGGCCGAAAATTTCATTCGCTATCAAGAGGGGGCAATTGCATTGAAATATATGGAAGTTTTTTAGAGAAAGAAGCCAGATTTCTTTGATGGTGCAAAAATTTCGTATTTGAGAACTTTCATTTTTGAGGGGTTTCACTGCAATACTCTTAGTGATCCTAACCAAGTTTCAGAGAGAGAAAAGAACATCAGAAACGTAGGGACGTTAACTAGACTATGTCAAGTTTGCTACCGTACATGGGGGGAGAGGGGAACGAGGCAGTAAAGGAGAAAAGAGGTGGAGGAGATACACATTGCACATAACACAAACATCACACACACAGTGCAGATTTCACAGACGGTCGCACAGGGATGTTGCCCTCAAAAATTATAGAAGGGCTCGTGTGGCTTTTTGGGCTAATGTATTTGAAGGCCACGCACCTAACATCTTCTCCAAAGTAAAGGGTCGATCATCCAGTCTCCTTAAGGCTGGATAATATTCTTCAAATTGAGTTTGAAGAATATAATGTGGCCCCAAGCTAAAGATATATTTTGTGGGTAAGGCTGAAGGACTTGTGCTTCGCCACCTTATGATGTTCGGCATTTTCAACAGAAGAGAAACACCTTGAGTGGACTGCACAAATTTATTCAAATTTCATGAAGTGACCACCAAAATGTACACGTTACTAAGAATTTATCATTATGCTGATTCTACAGCCATGAAAAGCACAAATATCATACCTCAAATCAGAGTGCCACCACCACTGAGCCACTTCTAAAGACTGAACTAACAAAAATGTAGCTGCTCTGAACCTACAAGCAATTACCATACCCAAGGCGTGCAAGATTAATTTAACAGTAGAAGATTTTAGATCACAAAAAACTTGACGCAGTATAGTGAAGGAAATACAACGACGAAAGACACAAGCAAGCAAGCAAGCACCAACGTCAGTAGCAGCACCAAACTCACGCTCGTGCTTGCCCGGATTTTGGCTGCTTGACGCCCGCCACTTTTCGTCGCTCCACATTTAACGTTTGTCGGGCTTCCCTGATGTCCAGCGACAATAACCCACGTGACATTTGGTGGAGGTACGTGGATTCCCTGACCAACCAGGACCTTCGTTCCCAGAAGCTCCCCTTGCTCCGTGACCCCATTACCACTAGGACCAACGAGACCCCTCTCCAGACTGGACCCTCAGTCATCCACGTCACCAGCGGCGACATGCATCGCCAGCAAGAGCCGGCCGTCTTAACCGGCTCCGGGGACTCAGATGTGGATGATTGGCTATCGAAGTACGAGCGTAACAGTGCCAGTAACAAGTGGGACGACCAAATGAAGCTTGGGTACGTCCAGTTTTATCTTACGGACATCACTCAATTGTGTTACAACAACCATGAGAGCGACCTTCCCACTTGGTATGTCTTAAAGACTTTCATTATGGAAGTCTTCGTTCGGCCATCGGCTCCCAAGCTTTGGGAAGAGCAGCACTTGAGTCAACGGGCGCAGCTCCCCAGTGAGAATTTCACAGGCTACATTGAAGAAGTGCTAAACCTCTGCAATGGTGTCAACTCAGCCATGACCAAAGAGGAGAAAATTGAGCACACCCTCAAGGACATCGAGGACGACGCTTTTCAGATGCTGCTCGCAAGAAATCCCGCCACCGTCGCAGCACTAACGTCCTAGCGTCAGAGTTTCAACGAGTTGCGCCAGCAGCACTCGATTGCACGCCAAGCCCTCACAACGACCGACACAATATCCAGCTTGCAGCTTCCTGCTCACCATGTCGACCAGCAGCCACTGCTATCCACGTCAAGGACTTCATCCATGAGGAGATAGCGCGTCTGCTTTTATTGCTCCCTCTCACCAACGCACCGGTGCAGACCTTGGCTCCTGACATTCAGCAGGTAATTCGCAAGCAAATCGCGGAGGCACTACCTTCTATGTCCCAGCAACCACCCGTCTCTGTGCTACTTACACTGTCATCGCCTCTCGGCCCCCTCAACAACCTCCACTCTATGCCCCCGTCTGAGCTCGTCTCTGAGCCGCTTACACTGCCATCCCCTCTCGGCCCCCTCAGCAGCCTTCACCCTATGCCTGCCCTGTGATGCCGGCCCCCGCCTCACCACCGACCACGAAATCTGCAGTGCCGCTTCACTACGCAGGGCCTTCCCCTCCGTTATTCCGCCGCCCAGACGTGTGGCGAAACGCCGGACAACAGGCCCATCTGCTTCACCTGTGGTGTCGCTGGCCACGTCGCTCACCACTGCCGCCACTACCTACCTTCTTTTTTCAACGCGATGACCATGCCCGATCCCTCGTCGCCAAGCACCCTACCAACTCGCATTTCGGATAACCGCCCCTCCTCCTCCAGTGCCCGATCCCCATCTCCTCGACGACGCTCCCTGTCCCCCGTGTGTTGCTGCTCCACTACAAAGGAGGGAAACTGATTGCTGCAGCTCTCGAGCAGGAGCTGCAGGCAAGTGGGATTGCCCAAGGCCTTCATGTGAGTCGCCGTGAAATGTTATTGACATTGATGTCGAAGAAACCGCCGCCGTAACTTCCCTGACGTCCAGCGTCAATAAACCACATCACAACAGGAAAGTATAACGAAAGAAAGAACTAGAAGTACAGACAATATCATCACTGGCTGTAGTCTGTTACAGCACTCGAAATGCTGAAACTATGCAGGAAGAAATAGCATAAAAACATGAGGCAAAGACATAATATCAAAAAAGGTTTTGTACAGTACTGGACAGCTTATCAGCACAAGTGCAAAGCAATACTGGCAACTTCAGAAACAATCAAAAGATGCCAACCAAGGGAAGTTCATATTTACCTGCTTGTTCATGTCAACAATAAGCAGGCAATGAGTTAAGCCTGCACCCCGAATACGAACATCACACGAGGCATCTCTACAAAAAAAAAAGCACATCCAGTTAGTAAGACATTTTGAAAGCTACCGAGTGAGTCACACCTATAAAAAATCTAATCGTGCTAAAAACATGTACATCACACTCTACAGGCAGGAACATAAAATTCGTGATGAGGACCATAAATTTAACATGAAAGTGCATGCTAAAATGCAAAACTTGTAAGTAACATCCTATGAGTAATATCTGTAAAACCTCTTCTATACCCGTTTTATCACAACATATGCTGCACTTTCATTTATGCACTTGTGCCAGGATACATCCAACAGGCAGTATTTAAGTGCTTCCTCAGTTCTAACATCGCTAAACAGGGTTTGTTTTACGCATTTGTAATTTTGGGTTTTTAATCAATTTACTGCACTTTTTACTTTGGCCCTGCATTTTTTTATTATTGAAACTTTTCTTCACTTTTACCTTTTCCAAGCAATAACACGAGTTCCCAAGCAGTGAGAGTTGCTATAGTACCTCTACGTGGTGGGTGAATTTTTCCCCATAAAATTTGCCATAATGCGAGGTTTCACATTTAACGTTTGCAAGTTTTCAAACACGAATCAAAGCTACAGTCAAGAAACAGAACCAAGATTGCCGAATGCACGCTTTCTCAACAAAATCCCACAGTACACTACAGCAAGTGGTATCATTAATACAATTATTGTATGGTCAGACACAACTTGTAAATTAAGCACCCTGCATGAACTTTAATTGAAGTATCTCCCCCAAAAAAGTAAAACTTATTTTACCAAAACAAACCAGTCATAACGAAATGGTCTTATTCAAGCATAGACACGTACTGCTCAATATAGCTGGTCCACAACAGAAGCTATTTTACTGAGCTCATTAATGTAACATAGTATGCAAGTAGTAACAGAAATCTTCATGAGCTCAGTATGGCTAACTCTGAATAGCTAGGAAGAGTTGCACCTATCAACTATTTCAGCTACATACAACCTGTCAATAAGCTTCAATGACCTCTATAAATTACAGTGGTAGATTAAACATGGTTTGAAAGCATGCCGAGTCTTCCTTTTCTCTCCCAAACTGTAGAGCAACGGCTTGGTGCACAGTTGGCGCAAGATATGCAATTTTCGCAAAGGTGCAACAGAAGGTTGCCCCTCTTGGCACAGCATGGCACAACAGACTGATCTTACTGAGAGTGCCACTACTCCACCGCTGCCACAGTGCATACCATTGCTTGGAGTACTCAGTATGTTTAAATGCATCTGCAAACTGTAGTAACATGCTTTAATAGCCATAACTAGATGAATCATGATAGTTTTACATGATTTCAAAGGATGTCAAGTGCAGCAGGAATGTGTGGGACAGTCAACGAAGTCTGGCAGAGTGGCAACTATATACTGCGCACTTTCAACATGTTGATAACGTGTTTATAAATTCGCTGTGTATAAAACAATGCATGGTAGTTTATCAATGCCCTATTGCTTCACAGCAAGCCTTTTGAGCGACCAATGGACTGATCAGCCCCAGCAAAACTTCATGCCACATGTGCTAAATTGCAGGGGCAATTGCCACCAGCAGCAGCAGAGTGGATAAGTGTTTTTCAGGCAACACAAAGATCGTGTAAATATACTAGCAATACCCAAACTGACCTCTCACCAAAAGCGATAAAGACTATCAAAGGGGCCCTGCAACACTTTTCGAGCATGATCAGAAAATGCTGCCGATCGGTAGTAGAAGCTCCCGTGAACATGCGAGCCAAATGTTATAGCGCAACACGTGACCTGGAATTCGCAATTATCAGTCAACTGAAAATTGCTTTCTCTTCTCTCGACAAATGACGGAAGACGCTCAAAAATCACACATAGATTACCCATCAGCCATTGCTTGATTTGAACATGGCGCACTGGATTGTTACAGAGATTGCCGCGAAAGGCCATCACTTGTACATGCGTGCGTGCACGATCGCACTGAAAAAGTCGCGATTTCGAAGAAAGAAAAAAGTGCTCAAGGTCACAAGGCGTGCGCGAAGTTTTTTTGTTTGCCGTTCCCATCCCTACCTGCTTAGCTTCTTCGTCGGGACGAGAGAAGAGAGAATGCGATTGCAGCATGTGACAAATCTTTGTAACTCCGCTTGTACTGGACGAATTTTTAAAATATTTGTGGCGTTTAATTTGTAAGTCAATAAGCTTTCCCAGTGAATAAATTCCATGGTTACTCAAAAAGTGTTTAAGGTACACTTTAAGTATATTGCTTGAGTAAGACCAAAATAAAGTTGTGTCTCTCACTCTTGAATAAAACCTGTGATACAAACTAAGCTTGCAACTGCATATTGTATGTGTACAGCTTGCACCATGTGGTACATGGCGAAAACGTATGCTGCAGTTTCCAAGCGAGAGGCCTAGCAACGACATCGGCGCCCAGTGGTACACTGATTGATTGATGATTGATTTGTGGGGTTCAACGTCCCAAAATCACCATTTGATTATGAGAGACGCCGTAGTGGAGGGCTCCGGAAATTTTGACCACCTGGGGTTCTTTAACGTGCACCCAAATCTGAGCACACGGGCCTACAACATTTCCGCCTCCATCGGAAATGCACAGTGGTACACTGAGGCTGCCACCAGTGGCCAGAGTGCATTACTGCTAATCTGCTGCATTGTTTGTTACCGAAACTTCCTACCGACTCATTAATCTCTTGTGCAGCAGGAAGTACTTTGTCGTACACCAGATTTCCATAACATTAAACCTTTGCAAACGGCATGAGGCTAGTCACTGTACCATGGATGCACACCTCCTTCACGGCAATGGTTTCATAATCATTCAAGTTTAATGCATCAATGTGAAACTCCTGCGTTGACAGCACAGTGCACATGGAACGTGTTGCTTGGGCATAAAGTAATCGCCAGAGCCTCCCCCCCTCTCCTTTTTTTCTTCATCTTCGCAGTTATGGAGAGCTACGCAAATATACTTCAACTTGCATGGCTCACGTGCGGTCGTTCACTAAAGAGCTTTGCTCTCGTGACGACAGGAACATTATTTCTCATTTTTTAAAAACTAACATGAATTGCACGAAGTGACCCTAGAACATCACACCAAAACGACCTGGCCACAGTAACCAAGCCGACAGGTTTTTTTTTTTATTGTTGATGTTAACATTAGGATATACAGTGTAGCGTGAAATAAAATAAGCTTCGGAGTTTCGGACAGTTTCGCACCTCATTCAATCGGTTTATTTGCCAAGAATTTGTGCGCCAAATGCCAATATACCTGAAGCGCACAGCAAGAAACCGCACCAGAATAATCTAGCTAATATAGCTGCAGTTCCGTTGTTGCTAACTCGCGCATTCGCAGATCATCTGGTGCGATCAAAATCTACTAGCGTAGCTATCACATCACTGAGTTCACAAAAGAAAAAGTTCTGCAAGCCTTAAAAAGAAAAACTTCTAGGCGCGTAAAACTTCAGACAACTAACATAAGAGACAAGGACGAGCGCGGAACTGCTGAACTGCTTTCGTTAGTGCGGAACGTTTCAAGGGCTGCCCCGGACTGTGAATCTGAGAGGTGTGTTTCAGAAGGTGTTGATGTCCTCTACCGATATGCGCCTCGAGGAAAGACCATTCCAGTGAGGAAAGTCGTCTCCTACCTAAAGAGCAACAAACTATGTCTGCTGCCTTCGGACAAAGAAGGTGGGTTTTGTGTCGTAAGAAACCGGACCTTCATGAGTAAAGGCCACGCGGCTATTGACTCTGTGTTTAACCTTTGCCCGCAAATTAATCTGAAGGATGCGAAGCGAAAAGCGTGCAACATGCTTGATAAGCTTAATCTATGTAGCCTCGTGAGATCAGTTAACAAACAAGAAAGACTGGCGCTTAATTTGTTTTTTTCTGCAAAGACGCATAAGATTGATATGCCCTTTCGTGTTATAATCTCTGAACGGGACACATGGCAGAAGTGTGTTGCCTCTTGGCTTCAGAGGTACCTAAAACTGTTGCCGATTAATGATCCTTTTCTAGTGAACAATTCTTCGCAGATTGTTGGCTTCCTCCGTCAACACGTGTCCACTCGTCGAGTGGGTGTTTCCATCGACATAAAGGATCTCTACTATTCTCTGCCTCAAAAACCACTTGTTGATGTCATTGAAAAAGCAATTTCTGATTATGGTGCTGTTGCCTTTCAAAACGAGTGTGGTATTTCTGTTTCTGGCTTCCTGGATGTGCTGAAGCTTTACCTTGCCTCCACCTTTGCGGAGTGGAATGGTGAAGTTTTTCTGCAAAAACAGGCGTGTGCATTGGCTCATGCATCGCCCCAGTGTTGAGCGATTTATATCTCGCTCATTTGGATAGAAAGATTCATCAACGGTTGGTACAAATGAATGTCAGTAAGTGCTTCCGGTTTGTCGATGATTACTTAATTTTGTTTGATTGCGATCTTGAGGTCCTTAGTGAGTGCTTTCAGCAAGTCTTGCAAGTGTTCCAGGAATGCCTTGAACCACTGTCTCTCACGTATGAGTTGCCGGAAAATGGTTCCCTGAGGTTTTTAGAGTTAATACTAACTTTTTCAGCTGGGCACGTGTGTTGGACGTATGAGCCACGGGGGAAAAAACCCCTTTTACCGTACGCGTCTTCTCACAGCAAACTGGTGAAGCGTGGAATTGTAAAGGCATGTTTATATAACGCTTTAACAAAATCTTGCTTCCACTCAGTCCAGCGAAGTTTCGACAGGCAGATTCTCCGTCTAGAGGCAGCGGGCTATCCCGGTTCGTTGCTAGTTTCTGTGTGTGAGAAGCTGCGCAGACAATCAAGGGCCGGTAACGATGGGGACGTTTTACAAGAAGCAACTCCCAAGAGGGTGGCGGTGATACCGTATCTACATGGTATCTCGCATAAACTCAAGAAAATAGGCCAGAGAGCGGGCGTGTCAGTGGTTTTTTCCGCACCGAATAAATTGTCAAAATTATCTGTCCAAACAAGCCCCGTAGGAACCACTACGAGTAGCTGCAAAATTAAGCACCGAAAGAAGTTTGTTGAGTGTGCAACAGGGATTGTTTATGGCGTACCTTTGTCTTGTGGACTTGAGTACGTCGGTCAGTCGGGCAGGTGCCTCAATGTAAGACTTCAAGAACATTGCCAGAAAGTAAGAAATGCAGGACGGGACGGTTTTTTGGCCGCTCATTGTTCCGAATGTGGATGCCAGCCTTTGTTCGAACAGACAAGGGTTCTCGCGTCCCACCCTAATGAAGGCACAAGACTTGTAATTGAAGCTGCAGCAATTGCTCGAGGTAGCTGTATCAGCAAACCATCGATAGCATTATCTGGGAAAGAATTGGCGTTTTTAAATTCGGCACGTGAGGGCCCAGGGTGAGCACGTGATGTTTTTGCAATCTCTCTTTTCGCCTTTTGATTTTGTGTGATGTTTTTTGCAATCTCTCTTTTCGCCTTTTTTTGTGTGTTGCTTATCTTCTTTCTAATATATATATGTGTGTCGTAGTAGTAATAAAATCAGTTGAAAGTCTGCGCTCGTCCTTGTCTCTTATGTTAGTTGTCTGAAGTTTTACGCGCCTAGAAGTTTTATATGGATTACCAACTAGCCCAATCCCACACTTTACTTAAAAAGAAAATCAGCTTGTACATCAACACATCGCTCCAAAAACACAGTAGCCAGTAAGCAGAAACAGACAAGAACTGCCCAGCTATTACAAGGGCCAAGGTTATAATCCCAAATGACAGTAACACTTTTACAGCCTCTAAGCCAAAATATGCAAAGCCTAAATATTAGGAAACAGTGTGGTAAAAATGAAAACAAAGCAAGGAACGAGCAACATACCATACAAAGCACTGTGTTGCTTGTTCCTTGCATAGTCTTAATATTTAGCCACTGTTTCCCGATTAAAAACGTTCAACCAACAATTGATTTTATTTATATGTGGGGTTTAACGTCCCGAAACCACCATATCATTATGAGAAACACCGTAGTGGAGGGCTCCGGAAATTTTGACCGCATGAGGTTCTTTAACGTGTACCCAAATCTGAACACACGGGCCTACAGCATTTTTGCCTCCATCAAAAATGCAGCCGCCGCAGCCGGGATTCGATTCCGCGACCTGCGGGTCAGCAGCCGAGTACCTTAGCCACTAGACTACTGCGGTGCAGTGTTCAACCAACTAGCCAACTAGTTCCGCCTGAATATTAACACATACCCGCCGATTGAGCAACGTCCAGATGGAAATGGTAGCTCCGTGCCTCTGCCCCCTTTATTTTTAAGGGCGAATATTTTTGGATACCAAGCCATCCTGAAAAGAAGAGCACACTCCACTTCAGAAAACATATAGTGTTCATTGCCAAAATTCACATTTTTGTCTTGTCACACAGCATGAATACAATTATGAGAGCAGTTTACTAGTCATACTACTAATGTGATTCACTCGTCACTCTTGCATACCATAAGGAAGAATGTGAAGGTTACACATGTAGCATATGGCATGAAAGTCAAGCTTCACTCAGAAGAATTGTTCAAGGAAAGCACACAATGGTTCAAGTTATATTATTCATTTAAAAACACGCCATTATTTCACATGTGCGAATATGACATGATTATGTATAAAACTGCCACAGTATATCCATTTATGCTTCTCAATTTGAACTGCATGCATTAAAGGGACACCAAGGTAAAATAACAATTCATGTCAGAGTAAAAGCTCAATGTATGACAACGTTTAAATTGACAATATTATCAACAGCAATGCCCCACTTACGGATAAATTAAGGTAAATGCACAAGAACACGTGCGCCACGAGTAAGGGCCAAACAACGAAACGTTCCTTTCCTCAGTGAGGAAGCCTTCATTTTTGTGAGGCCGCCTTATGTCACTCTGAAAGCTTCCTCACTGAGGAGCCCTCGGTGAAGGCTTCCTTGGCGCTTCCTCAGCTTAAGGTTGCTTTGGGGCTACCTTCATGCGCTGTTAGGTTCGCTCCTTGCCCTGAACGAGCGCTTCGCCTCACAGCTAGCCCACGTGATGTTTTCGTTTTCGAGGCGACCCTCCCACCTCAGCTCTGCGGGGAGACACAAGCGGCGAGCGTGCGGGCACGGTGCCAGGCACGACGGCGCGCAGTGTTACTAGAATGCACGTTTTGCGCTCGACTACGGTGGCTTTTCACATTCAGTAATCGTAGTTGGAAGAAAGCATACACGCGTCTCTATATTAACACTTCAATTTGGAAGTGATGTGGTGACCCAACTTTTTTTTACAGAATAAACGCTTGTGAGCAAAGCTTATATTCGATAATCTCGAACGCAGGAGCGCGGCAACCATTCCTCCCGCGAGGACGGGTTGAGGGAGCTTTCAAAGTACGCTTGCTTCCTCCGTCGGTACTTGGTTGTAAGGAAGCCTCACGTAAGGAGAGGACGTGGTCAAAGGAAAGGAACGTTTCGTTGTTTGGGCCCAAGACATTCGGAAAATGATCCCAATGACATCAGAGTTACCGCCTACAGTTAATCACTAGAAATTGAACTAGCTGCCCAAATAAAGAACATTAAGTGCATCAAGAGATCTAATAAAATTCTGCTTGTGCGTTTCTGTTCGATTCAAGGAAAAAAGAAACGGCGCACGTTACTACGGGTAATGACGCGAGTGGTTCAAAAGTTCAATTTTCACCTGGTTAAACTGAATCGGTCGGGCCACCAAGCAGGGCCCAGTTGAAACAAGCACACCTTCCATTTCAGAGCCCATGGCAGAAAATCGTTCAATAGCTGTTGTTGCGCTGCTGTGGCGCCCGCTGCTTTCGCTCAGCTGCTACTAGTGTTGGCGGCCACGCAGTAAAGTCGGGCAATGTTGTTCACGGCAACAGTGATGTGAAAGTTTCCACATTGAGGCAGGTAATTTGAAGTGCGCTAATGCGATGTTGACCACAAATGCAATTTTACTTCCCAATAAGCACTTCCATGGCATTAAGGTAGCACTACGAGGTTTTTGGAGCACTATTTCAACAATCACCGTGCCGCTTTTTAAAATTAAAGACTTTGCCAGCCATTCCTCATTGACAAGAGACAGGTGTATAATTACGAGCTCGCAAGTTATGACACAATGTTTATCACACATACAACAAAGGATTAACAAATAGCCAAGGTATATTTATGAATTCTAGGTACACTGTTTCTAAAACTCCCAGACAGAAAAACTTTTGTAAGTGCTCCAGACAAACCACTGCACATGCCAACTCTGCACCATCCTGCAGCCCCATTATCATGACAAGAAGCTTTGCAGAAGTTAGGGCTTTCTTGCAGAAGCACGCAAACATAAAAATTTGCACAGTGTGAAAACTGTCAGAAAGCGAAGCTGTCGCCTGTTTTTTCAGGCACTGCACAGTGCTCCTATGTATTTGCTAGATTTTCACTAAAAATTTATTTGCTCCTTGTGTTTCAGGTTAAGCCATGTGGATTGCATGACAATGCAGCACTCTGTGCATAATACACATAGAGTAAGATGCACATGAGCACAAACTGACCTACTTTCTGCGAGTGCCATTCCTTATTCTTATCCAAACACACTCCCCCCATCCAAGCAAGCCAGCTCATCTACCAGCCACAGCAGCAATATTGATGTGGAGAGAAATAATAATAATGAATCTCATATACTTATATTCATCATGAGCACACTAAAGAGCGCCAGGAGGTCAGAAGTATTCCTAAATCTAGGCCCCACTGTACCATGACTTCCAATCCTATCATGGTTTTGACCAGCCAAATGGCACACCTTCAGGACATGAACTTGGCACAAGCAACATGCACAAAGCCATAGACGACCAGCCCTTTAACACTTACAAACACATGCCGGCTGGGGTCAACTACATGTTGAAGCGTTCTTGCTCTGCTAGACTAAATGTTATACAAAACAGGGAAGAAGAAATTGCTCTATCTCAAATATGATCGCTGCTTGAGTATTGAGAACTGAAGATGTCCCGTGAAGTTTTCCAGAACATTCCAGTGCTCAGCATAAAACTATCAACACAAACATCAATATAATGAATTATTTAAAACTAAAAAGATGCTCAATATCACAGTAATGTGCAGTGCAAATTTCTGACACATATATATATATTATTTCTATTTCAATTTAACAGCCAAGACCAATGCCATGGCAACCTCATGTAATCACAGAATAATGGACATACACATGTGGTTCATATAACTGATTAAAAATTGCTGTTCTTTAATCAAAACCTATATTTCACTTCTAGTATTTGAACCAAAGCCTATAAGTTCCTCTTGCAGTATTAAATGTAGGCCATATTTTCAAATAGATGCAGTTTCACTTAGCTTTCGCACATTAGGACAAAGAGTTACGAAAGTTAGGATTGTTCTTACCGAAGTGGTAATGGCGGTGTATTATTAAAGCAGCACAAACAGGTAAAATAAGTAGACACAACGAACGCTTTCGAACCGTTCGTTGTGTCCACTTTTTGTATGCGCTGCTTTAAGTAATATGGAACCATAGTAAGAGGCCCAGCTGTCGACCTTGCCGAGGTGATGGTGACCCTTGAACAGTGGTGAAACCTTCCATCATGCCGATTTGTTCAATACATTAAGGGGCTGATTAAGGAACAAACATCACAAACGTAGTACACTGTGTGACTTATTATGCATTTTATTTGAAGGCATAGATGAAACCAGTGGCATAAATCCAGAAAAATCCCAAAGGGGGCTGCACATCATGCCATGGCAGTTATTTTGTTTTCATAAATCTTGTAGGTCTTATTTTTACTCCCATAAAAACTAAAACCGTACCTTGAAATCAAACTGAAAAACAAATATGGGTTCCTGGAATGTGAAATTACATTGTTGTATTGAGGCTTCTGGGAAATCTATCAATCAACAGTTGCGATTACAACAGCCTCACACAGCATTGGAGCACTGAACACCAGTATACACTGAAAAAAAAAAGCGGAGCTAAAAATATTTTAAGAAGACATTAAAAAGTTTAGTATACTTCACTGTCAAGCCATTCAGAGATATGATGCTTGAAAGAAAAATTTCGGGGGGGGGGGGGGGGCAAAGCAAGACCCCCCTGACCCCCCCCATGTTTTACGCCACTGAGTGAGACATGCATGTTTTTTTTTAAGCACTTATTAATGTGCTTTGTGCATAACCAGAACGTATGAAATCGCAATTGACTTCAAGCAGCCATTCCACATGTTCATCGGTTTCTTGCTTGAACGTTTTTCTTTCCTGTTCATATGAACAACACAGTTTTCTTTTTTCACAACCGACTTTGACTCCTTTCCGAGTTTGAACGCTATAGTCTCAGATGTTACACGCATCAGAATGCAGCTAGACGCGCATCCATCCTTGCAGACATACGAATTTAGAGACACGACATTTAAACCAAACCAGAACGAGCTGATTTTATAACCAAGATATCTTTTTAAGGTAAGAACGCGCTTGTCGACAGCGAGCGAGATGATGTTCATCGCTTCAACGCAGCGCCGCAAGGGATATCACGCAAATGACGAAAAGCACCCCCTAAATATATTTAACCAATGTACGGCCCCCACGACGCAACTTAACTAGCCGCGCGTAGCGTTATAAAACGGCGAATATGAGCGCATTCGCACAGCTCCCGGCGTGATATCTCGCCTTCAATTTCAAAACAAATTAAACATATGCACAGACAGCATTAATGGAGACACAATCACTTCTATTAACATTATTTCGCACTATCTGCAGCGTTCCTGAAAAAAAAAGGGGCAAAATGCCACAGCCCATGAAAATGGTACCACTCAACGCTACCACCCCATGGACGCACATCGCACAATTGCTAACGACAAAAAATCTAAACGAACCCATACATACTGCAAGAACTCGTTATTTTATCATTAGAGGCTAAATATTTAAAATTACCTACGCAATCGTTGCCCGAGTTGGACAAAACAGTACTTACTCTGGTTGGCGCGTCCGTTGCACGCACAACGGTTCAACGGGCAAAATGCCACAGCCCATGAAAATGGTACCACTCAACGCTACCACCACATGGACGCACATCGCACACGAACATTGCTAACGACAAAAAATCTAAACGAACCCATACATACTGCAAGAACTCGTTATTCTATCATCAGAGGCTAAATATTTAAAATTAACTACGCAATCGGAACCCGAGTTGGACAAAACAGTACTTACTCTGGTTGGCGCGTCCGTTGCACGCACAACGGTTGAACGAGCAAGATTGAAGTTACCTGCTGACAAAAGACGCACAATTTTATTATTCGCATAGATCAGACAACACACATCGTACACACTTTGCACCAACCAAAAAAGGGTACATGTTCTCACCACAAAAAAGCGGCTCCTCAAATTAATTCTTCAAGTTCGCGCTTTCTTCGCCGCCGCGAATTTGAAAGCTGCCAGCGAAAAAAAACGAACAATGGGGAGGGGGGGGGGGGGGTGCTGCAAGTAGTCCGCCCCACGCTTGGCGCACGCGCGAGAAAATCATTGCGCTCAATAACATAGTTCTTATCATTTACCGTCAGTTGCTAAGCTGCCTAAAGCCACTTCGAAAAATTCATGAACAAATTTTAAAACCATGCGTCAGGTACAGTAATCGCCATAATTTTCACCTTCTTTAGAACTTTTCTCAACTTATTTATTCAAGTGTTCGCGCCACCTTTTTCCTTCCTCCGTGGTTCGCGCTATTGAGAACGCCAAATGCAAGCGTTTGGACAGTGACGGCGGTTTGAAGGGCAACAGGAAACAACAGCCTGCCCTTACCAACGGCGTCGCTTACCACCATTACAGTGTACAGTGTACAACACTGTACTACAATGCAATTGATTGAGTTCCTCGGAAATGCCTTGGAAAGGATGATCCATTGGCTTTTTTTAGTGATTGTGTTCTTCCGCCTCATGTGTCTTCGAAAACGGCGTTCCGTTTTAGGTACAAAATCTCTTGCTTGATGGCGTGTGCACCATCAGCTGAGCCACCTGGACTACATCCCACCCTTGTTCCTTATTTTCTTTTCTTTCAGTTCCTGCGCAAGCAGGCTATATATATATATATATATATACATATATATATATATATATATATATATATATATATATAAAATAACGTTGGTTAATTTATGACCTCCGAGATGGCAAACGCGCGGCCATGAACACGCCGCGCGCCTACCTTCTCGGAGGCCATGATTACATCCATAGGTCACATCGACGTGTAACCAACGTTACTGGCCTGCCTGCGCAGGAACTAAAAGAAAGAAAAATAAGGAACAAGAGTGGGAGTGGGGTACAGACGCGCCTTTACTACAAGCATTGAAAAAATATAACTGTACGTGCGTGTCAAAATTTCGTCTCTTTTTTTTGGTTACGTACGCCTCAACTTCTGAACGGCCGTGGTGTGTGCCCTGATCAGTCAGCTAATCGCGTGCACGCCTTCAAGCTATGGTATTTTCTGTCTAAAGCGGAATGCCGTTTTCAAAAACATATGAGGAGGAGGAAGAACACAATCACTCAAAAATAAGGGCAATGAATCGTTTTTCAGATCTTTATTGTCTGTATGTGCACATTTAACGTCCGCAAAGCAGTCTCCTCTTGTCCGGATATTTTGCTCTCTCGTACCGCGTAGCCTATCAGAAGCTCGGTTTCGTTGGGTCTCCGGGCATGCTGGAATTGCACTAAATGAAACTGCTGACTCGCTCGCTTCGGCATCTTTAAATTTCCCGGTGGCACTAGTAGCTCCACACTTTTCTTCTATTACTGCCGAACGATTCAAACGCCGGTTAATCTTAAAGATCAACAAAACATCGCTCCTACAATCTGCAGAATTCCGGCACTTGCAATTCACATGTAACACCGCAAAATGCCGTTCCCGTCAATGTATGAGGTGACCCTCACAAGCTTTCGCTGTAGAGTTCCTCGGTTAAATTTATTCTCAACAAATCAGGATTTTCATTAACTAACTTATGTGCAGTTTGCAATGAACCGGAAACAATAGATCACTTTCTTCTTACATGCTGCCGCTTCGCCTCACTGCGACGAATAATTCTTGAAAGGCCGATTGGTATGCTCGGATTGCCAGTCAATACATCCACCCTATTATCGTTTGGAGCCAGTCAGTTGGGTGTGGGCCGCAGTGCTATTCTGTCAGCGCTACATAAATTCATTCAGGCAACCGGAAGGATACGCTGCTAGTGGTACTGCCAGATATATCCAATTCTTTGTCCCCCTTCCTCATTCTTGTTAATTTGTTTTATATATTCTTGTTTATCGCATTCTTCTGCACTTTTTTCACGTTTTTTTAAAGGAACATTAGTATTGTTCTTATCTAATTTCTCTTTCTTTTTTTTAGCAAGCGTTGTAAAAAAATTATCTATTATGAGGTACAGTGTGGCCAATCACCCATGTAGTATGAGCCAAGATATCCTAGGCGACAAGACAAGACAAGATCTTTATAATTCGTAGTGATGTCTGTCAGGAACAAGAGATGGATTTTTTTTGTGTATTGGCAGTATTATCTCTGAACCAATTTTTTCAGATTGGCTTTAACTTCTTTTTAGTTGCATTTAAGTATTCTGCCGCCCGGTTCTTGGCCCATCCCCCTCTGTGGGTGAGCGCCATCTATCACAGGTCATCAGAATCATCCCTTCCGATCGGTACTCGAGGGGGACTCCATGCCTTGCTGGAGCGTTCACGTGGCTGTATTTTTGAATACGAAGTGGGAGTGATTGAGTAAAAACTTCATTGAGAAAGTGGGACTCGAAAAAAAAAAGAGAAATTGCCAGGTTTGTGCGGAATGCGAAGCACAGTCATAGCGAAAGCTGCAAGAGCGGACTTTCTGATAGTCTTCTAAACACTGTGGGTAACCGCTACAATTAGCACACTTGCTGGGTACCCACTGCGCCATAAACAATCATGTCACACACTTCGGGCGAGGCCCCGCCGATCCGAAATCGACGTGCGCCAGACTCACGGGCTTCCACTTTACCCTTCGGCTTGCGACGCCTGAAAGGCCTCGAAGTGGCACTTTTCAAATTTATTATCAGGTTGGTAGAACCGTGCGGGTTTGCACGTGTTGTGATGTGTGGGCCTGACTGACGTACTCATTGAGCAGACACGGAGATTTGATTACACACAAACAAGCATTTAATTAAAACAAGGGCAAAGGCAGGAGTTGACAAAAATAACAGAGGAATAAAACTGATACGCGATGGAAAAGAACAGCTACAAAACAAGAAATGCTCTAAAAGAACACTACAAGAGATACAGACTAAAGACAGATACGCGAAATATTAATAAAAGAACAACATGATGGAAATCAAAGGAGATACAAGAAAAATTACATGAAAAAGATCATGGTCGCGCTTTTGAATTTCTACATGCGACGCAGCGCACACAACTACAAATATTTAAAAAAAAACGGCTGGTTATAATAAATTAACAGTTTTAAAAAAAGTCCCAATAAAAAGTTCCATACGGACCAGGCCAGCTCTTGGTGCACGTAGGGGAGTTGACGGGTGCCGCTGAAGATCTCGCCGGCTTGGTAGACGACGAGTGTGCCCGGAATTGCAGCCGTCTCAATACGTTGCGCGGGTCACTCCATGCTCGTCGCCTACGCGAGACTCGCGACACCGATGACCGCACTTGTTGCTGGCTGTACGTCAACTGCCTATTCCGATGCAGTCCAAACTTTTTCGTCAGGGGCTTACGCGTGCTCCCGTCCCATATGGAGGTAATTTCCTTTTTTTTTTTTCTTTAGAGACCACCCGTGTCCCTTTCGGTACAGGTGCAGGGAAGACGAGCCGGCGCCACGCTGGGTCGCCGGAGGTCGTCCTCCCAACACAAAAGCGCCCTTCCTTGGAAGACGGGGCCCGCGGACGATCCGAAAATTGGAGTCGTTTGTGACAAATCATAATTTTTGTGTAGTAGGCCAGCATTCACTATGCTATCCTTCAGAGAAGCGTGGTACCCACGCCGAGGGAGGCGCTGCGGAGCCTGGCGCTGTCAGTCAATGTGGGGAGAAAACTGGTTACTCGTGTGCTGGCCTCTCTGCCTTGAAAACGCGTTGCTTTGCTCGCACGCTGCACGCGTTCTGCACGTGTTTTTGAGAGTTTCGCGTCGCGCGCGATTCGGTAAAAGGGTAGCGTCTGCTCAGCCATGTAGCCCATGCGAAGCAAGTTGTAGAAGATGACGCCGTCCTCGTCAGAGCGAAGTGCGTTTCGCAAGTGAAAGACAACGCTGTTTACGACGTGGAGTTAGAGGTGAAATAAGTTTCTCGAAACCTGGCACCGACCAGCAGTGATCTATAGTGAGTCTAAAGGGCAACTAACCATCCAACTATGATGGCGGAACATCTAGCAGTAGGATTTGGCGAGGCATCACTCGCCTGCATGCTTTGTTTAAGTCCAACAGCGCGCTTATCCCGCGCTAGGACAAGCCACCACGCCTGGGGATTCGTTAATATTCTGTTCGGCAGCGCCTTCCTCCTCTTTTCTCCGGGGGAACGCGTTTTCGTTCAAAGAGCGCGCCCCTCCGCGGGCGCTCTCCCTTCCTCTCCCGCCTCTCTTCGAGGGAGAGAAAGCATGCACTCTTTCCCCCTCCGAGCTAAACTCGTTTCCGTCGCTAGCCCCGCCGCCGGCGTGCGTATTCCGGTCTGCCGCGCGCGCGACCGCTGCGACGCGCGCGCAATTCAAACCGCTCGCTGGCAGGCAGCCAGCGGGCACACGCCTGCTACGTGTTCCTCGCGCGCGCCGATCGTCTTCGGCGCGCCGCGGGGGCGTGGCGCAACCGCTCGCTTTGAGCGGGGACCACGGGAGTCTTCGACCTCCGGTCACGATGGAGAGGCCACAGCTCCGTGGGCCCTGACCTCGTCAGCGGCACTAAAGAGTGGCCCCCTTGCCTGGGACAGGCACCGGCCGTCGCGTCCGCATGGTGCTCTGGGCGTCGTGCGGAGGCGGCACCCTTGTCCGGGTAGGGCCGTTCAACCGAAACAACAAAAGACCCGTCCCTTACCCAGGGGCGGGACCCTTACCGGGTTGAACGTAATTGGATGATGAAGGGTTGATGAGTGACATGTACTCTGGGACGAGGCGCTTTCGAGAGCCAACTCCTCTTCCTTTCTGACAACGGTAGAGGTGAATACAACTTTCTGTACGTTCATAATTATATACCTGTTTTATTTGGTTTGCTGTGTGTAGTAGGCACTACGTGTGTTACTGGATGCACGGGTAAGGCCGCTTCTCGTGCTTAAGGCTAAGTGGTTCTTGCGCTGTGACTGCCATTAGTTGGGATATCTTAATTTACTAGCACCCACCCAAGTTATCGTGCGGTATATACGCAGTACTTCAAAAATAAATAGTCTATTTGGGGCTTCTTTCTGAACCACAACGAAAATTGACATCTATCTCGCGTGTCTTTCCTTGC